TACCCGCGAGGCGCGCGATCGTGACGTAGCACCACAGGTAATCCGCATTTTTGCTAAGAGCGCGCGCCGATACATATACATAATAAAAGCGTACGCATTCGTTCTTTTCTGTCTCTAATGTATTAGTTGGGCGGCCTATGATTCACACTGAAATGTGGGATGATTTTTGGGCCAATTTGACCGAGTAGCTCTGGTTCCGAGTCTCTACTTCGTACCGCTGAGCATGTGCACTTGACGAATTTCAATGTTTGATAATAGTTGATAAGTCTCTTGGCATTATACTTGCAAATATAAAAACAACTTTTCGGGGTTGAAGTTAAGGTTCGTTAACTTCAGCATTGAATAGAACTGAAAAGCAATTTCAAACAAAGTTCGTTGTGGGAAATCAGTAACAATGGTCGGATTATCAATATCATTTTGTACTGTTGTTCGGCGAGTGATACTCTTAGAACAGTGCGTATCAATTCTTTTGATGTCACATTCCAATTCATGCTAATTGTTTGTAGCAATGTTTATATTACTTCCGATTGAAAACATTGGAGCATAGAAAAAAAAAAACAAGAATTCAAATTCGCTCAAGTTCAACTTCAATTTTTTCCTCGGAAATCATGGTATTACAAAGTAATAGCATGGCTTCCTCGGGAGATTAGGGATTAAATGTCCCTCAGCCTCGGGCAGATAAGTAAAAGTCCCTCCGGCCTGCGGCCGTCGGGACTTCAACTTATCTGCCCTCGGCTTCGGGGACATTTAATCCCTAATCTCCCTCAGAGCCATGCTATTACTTATAATAACCAAATTAAGTGAATATATAAATATTATAAATAATAATTAATCGAAAAGCCCAGGGAGACCAACTAGAGGAAGTTAAGTAGAATACATTAATATAATTAAATAAATAACCGCTGACAAAAACATCGCAGGCTCAAGTTTACAGGAAAGTGATCGAGCGAGCGGGCGAGTGACAGCTGTCCCATCCCAATAACTCTACGATTGCTGTCGCAATCTCCGAGTTAAAAATGGCTCGTGTCAACGCGGCTTAAAAAAGAGCTGAGGAGAATAGGCAATATACAGAGACGTCATTTTGTACAAAAAAAATACGATGGTAGCTGTAGTCATCGCAGTCTTTGAAGCCCATAAAAAAATAACCAAAAGCCTTTTTGCTGAATACTCGCAAAGAGAAAGCAAAACTGCTTAAGAGGACTGTTTCAGCCGAAATAAAAACGCACAAGGACTACTGAACTCCCAGCATGCTTTCTTGAAACAAAATGGCGTCGCGGCACTGAATAAAAGTAGCTCGCTACATATATCCTAGTTTAGCCAAGAATACTTTCCTTACAAGATTTGTAAATATGCTTAAAATCCTTTGCCTCGACTTATCAGTAGTGGAATTTGCGCAATTACTTGTAAAGTGCTTAAATTATGGATCATAACATGAATGCAGTCCGCGCTGAGATCTATTATGAATGATTTTTTTAAGCAAATAGCAAAAATGACTTACAATAAGGCTGGTCAGCATACGCACACATGCACCCAAAGTGAACTTAAACTGACAGTATCACGCACAATACTTCTATTCACAGGCTGTCGTGCTGCTTAGACACTGAATTGAACCTGTTTTTTAGCCAATACCAAATTGTATAGAATGATATTTCAGGGGTCAATCTTGCGTCATCAACTCGCCCTTGATCATCGACAAAGAAGGAAATACTCTTGTCGCTTTCTTGGATGACAGCCCTTGATCTCAGACATACTATATATAGTTGATTTTCAAAATTCGCACAGTAACCCTGCTCTACCCTGGATACCAAAAACAATTCAAAAGTTTAGATGTTACTTAAAAGAACTTGACTTGAAGGTGCACGGCCTTTGATAACTTTTGAAGGGATAGTAGAAAATGAATATATAGATACAAGATGGCGCACGCAGAGAAGATTTTCCATGAGAAAAAATTTGGACTAGCCTATGCTCCTGACTTTTGAACGTCGAAAATCACATGAACCGAGTCGTATCACCTGTTTAAATTAAAACACGAAAATTAATGGATAATCTCAGAAGTACATAACCAGAATACTTCTGATAATCTGTATTTATTCTTTATTGTATATTTATATTTATTGCAAGAAAAAGCTCCATAAAATAGAATATTGACTAGAGTCAAAATTATTTCATATTATTCCAGTTATTTAATATGAATATATCATACTCGCTTCTCTTCAAAGTAATTTCTATGTTTGTGGTCTTCCTGTGCTCCCATCATGCTTTGCGACATTTGCGCGCACATTTTCCAAAATTTCAAAATGGCGCCCCCGACTTCGTTAGGAGATGCTCCGAATGAATTCAAGCTCAATGAGCCCCCAGATGATGGTATTTCTGCTGTAAAATTCAGTCCAACTTCAGTTAACTTTTTATTGGTTTCCTCTTGGGATTCGGTAAGTTGTAGAATGTTATTTTAAATCATGAGAGACAGTTGAGAATCTAATAGTGATGATAGTCCGCCGTTTTTAAGTTACTTGTTTTAGAAATCGAGGTTATGAAAGACTTGCCAGCTAATAATTAAGCTTAAACGCAAACTCACTTGAGATTTTTTACTGTTAATGATTTTTCAGTACGTTTGATTTTGTAGAGCAATCATGCTTCTTGACATGCCACGATTCATGAAGTTCGAGTGACATAAAAACTTTATTTAAGCTTACTGAACTTGCGAGCTTCCTTTGGCGAGTTTTTTGGATTTTTCATTGTTGTCGCAAGTCACTTTTTGAATTTGTGGAAATGCCAATTAACAATAAGAGCATTCATGTTGTGTACCCCTCTCTCAATTATAAAACCTGCTTTTTGATTGCTACCTTAGTTCTGAATTCCTATTGTTTAGATTAAGTTTTGTTTTATTGCTTGCAAAATCATTGTTTCTCAACAAATCATGAGATTCGTTTGTTACACGACCCAACTGGAGGCCTGAAGGTTGAATCATGTCTGAGGCTGACAATTTTTACTTTCTTATCTATTCTTTGTATAAACATGTAATCTTATATGTTTTAATTAGGGTGTCAGGCTTTATGATGTCCAGGAAAATACAATGCGTTTAAAGTACAACCATACTAGCGCAGTCTTAGATTGTTGTTTTCAAGATGGCGTTCATTCTTACAGTGGTGGATTGGACAAAACTCTCAAAATGTAAGATTTGCTGGTAGTTGTTTAGTATAATGTTGTTGAAGCTGATGTTGTTGATGATGCTGCTGCTGTTGCTGTTGTTGTTGTTGCTGATGTTGCTGTTGTTGTTGTTGCTGTTGTTGTAAAGTCTTTTGTTTTGAGAGGGTAGCACATAATAGTCCTTAGACTAATAAACTTGTGGCCCTCTATATATTCACTCATACTCACTACCTCAACATTCATTATTTTACTACACGACACTCCTCACAGCTAGTTTTTGACTGAGGGAGGGAAACCAGCTGACCTGGAGAAAAACCCTCGGAGCAAGGAAGAGAACCAGCCTACAAACTCAAATCACATATAGTCCCAGACCGGGAATCGAACCAGGACCACAGCGGTGATAGACCGGCGTTTTAACCGCTCGGTCATCCTTGCTCCCCATTGCTCCCTGTTGTTGTTGCTGCTGTTGTTGTTTCTGTTGTTGTTGCTGCTGCTGTTGTTGATGTTGTTGCTGTTGATATTGTAATTTTCCCTTGTACATTGTAAGGTATACTATAACTCTTTCTAATGGAATCAGCTGTGATACGCTACTAAAAATACTGTAAAAAGATAGAAGATGTACTGTCATTTTAAACACCAACATAGGACGAACCAGCATTCAAAACATCTATGTTGTATGTTTTTGCGGTGTATAATTTATCATTTTCATCACAATATTGTGTTACACTAGTAATGAGTTTCTTATTATTGTCCTTAATTTTTTTACCAACGGTATATGTACTTCTGTAGACCTATCATTACATGTAGCAATGAGTTACCCTTCTAATAGTCCCTTATTCTTGTTTTGACATTTCCCAGGTATGACTTTAATGCAACCCAAGAACAGATTGTTGGAATGCATGAAGGAGCAATCCGTTGTGTTGAATACTGCCAACCTCTAAGTAAGATTTCAACCAGTGACCAATTGCCTTTAAATTAGAATCAAAACAATTTAGACTTTGATTTTTTTGTGATTTATCACGTATTTGTGTGTTGCTATTGGTAACAGATCTCATCATCACTGGAAGCTGGGATAAGTCAATCAAATTATGGGATCCCAGACAAAAGCAGTGTACTGGAACATATGCACAGCCTGAGATGGTGAGTAGCCTGTTCTTAATTTTATGTTATGCTTACTGGACTTGTTGCTACCTGCGGACTCTAGTTTAGTTTTATGTGCACCCTCATGTGAGTGACGCCTGACTGTTTTTCTGTTGTTATCGTGTCTGCCATTTTAGATTAGTGTTCTCGAATAAAGTTCGTTCCTTGTGTCGTTCGTATTATCTTCTGGTGGTAATCTTGCACCTTAATAGTCATTGTAATTGGCTGACTCAGACAATAAGCTCTATTGTTTATGCTTCATTCTTTACTGTTTTTCTTTGGGTTGAGCTAATAATATTACCAGCAATGTTCTTCGTACAGCTTTGACCTTTCCAACTTTTACATTGTAGAAATGAATTTTTAGTGTGTCTACCAATACCTGTGAAATAAAACTTTATGTACAAACTTAAGTGTATAGAGTACAAACATTAAATGTGTGCAACACTTTCCACTATTTACTACAAAAGAGTGTTAATTAAACAATAGAAAACAATAGAATTATCATAATTTAGCAGTGTTTACATTTAGTGTTTGTACTCTATCACTGTAATGGAATAGTGCAAAGAATAAAAGCTTAGCTAAATAGTCTAAGTCATTTTTTGTGTATTGATATGATTTTAGTAAAATCCCAATGACACAAAAGTGATAACAGTTTTGACACAATTTTTGTTAAATCCACGTAGGTTTATTCTATGGGACTTGCTGATGAAAGACTTGTTGTCGGAACTGTAAGTATAATAATAATATTATATAATAAGTATTACATGTATTAGACACATACATCACTTCATCACTTTTTAATACTTGTAATACTCTAATATGCAAACAAATATTTGTTATTTTTCAGGCTGGTAGAAGGGTCATGGTTTGGGATCTCAGAAACATGAGTTATGTTCAGCAGAGGCGAGAATCAAGCTTAAAGTATCAAACTAGATGTATACGCTGCTTCCCAAACAAACAGGGTGCGCAGATAATGTCACAGTAGTGCTTTTCCTTTCTTTTGACTTATTCATCATTCAAAAATTTGAGAATTTTATGTTTCTGATCTTATTTTAGGTTATGTACTGAGTTCAATAGAAGGCAGAGTTGCTGTTGAATTTTTCGACCCAAGCCCTGAAGTCCAAAAGAAAAAATATGCCTTCAAATGCCACCGCATCAAAGAGAAAGATATTGAGCTTATTTACCCTGTCAATGCAATAGCTTTCCATAATGTGTGAGTGAACAAATTAGGACTTTCTTGTGGCTGTTATCAGTGTCACATTGCTCAGTGCTCTCTAGCAAACATGTTGTTTGTTCAATGGGGTTTTACATTACAGTGATAAAAAATATATTCTTTTTTTTTTATAAATGTTTAACTGATGATTTCTGGTAAATGTTTTTCCAAGAAAATCAGAACAACAATTCCTGTATTTGTCAAAATGTAGAGTGCACGTCACATAAGCATGAAACAATTCTTAATATGTATTGCTAAATAAGATTTAGTTATCAACTAACTAAGAATTCAACAAAGCATAAACACAATGCCAATTATTTAAATTCCTTTGTAGCATTGTTCTCAATTCTTAGTTAGTTGATAACTAAATCTTATTTAGCACTACATAGTTAAGAATTGTTTCATGCTTATGTGACTTGCACTCTACAGTCTCAAGCTTATGTCATTAACTCATTAAACAATAAATTGAAATTGCGAATGCAGCCATGCTACTGGGAAAGATGCCAGACTTTGACACATATCTGTTCATTAAACAATGTTGTCCTTTCCAGACATAACACATTTGCCACAGGAGGTTCTGATGGATTTGTTAACATTTGGGATGGATTTAACAAGAAACGCTTATGTCAGGTACATTGCTGCGATTTCAAAGGAAAATCCAGGAGCCTACTTTCAATATTCTGGTTGAATAGTTACGCACTTCAGAACTGAAGACTAAGCTTCAGGAAAACAAAAGGATTACCTAGTAAGCTTCAGTCTTCAGTGACAACTTTTATGAGCAAGTTTATACTATGCAACAAGAATATAGAAATTGGGCTCAGTTTTTCACATGTATTCAAATATTCTTAATAGTTATACAAATTACTGGAGCAGCACTATATTGTGATTTGCCATTTATAATAATTATTTTTATATTTTAATTATTATTTAGCTCTTTGAAATATTTCTTATGATTTGYGATTTATAATAATAAATTATTTCTATTACCAGTAATTATTATTTAGTTATTTATTATTAAGACAAATTATGCAATAGTTTTATTTGGTTCTCTAACATGAGAAAGCATGAGTTAAACTTAGTACTAAATACCAACTACATGCATCCAGTTCCACAGGTATCCCACAAGTATATCCTCACTGTCATTTAGTCATGATGGTGGTCTTCTGGCCATTGCAAGCTCATACATGTATGAAGAAGATGAAAAAGAGTGAGTGTGCTTGATGAAAAATAATTGTATCAATGCTATGTGTTAATATTTTAATTCAGCAAAGAAGAGATGAAAATCTGTTCAAATGGACATTCTATTCAAGATTGAATGTGTTTGGGTTGTTATATAGATCTCAAACTTTGCCAGACATCTGACATTATTACATTGTTGCCATTCTGTGCCTCTCCAATTCCCTCCCTTTACTCCACAAAATAACATTTAATAGACGTTCTCGTGTTCAATAAACTGCAGTACTGATACTGTGTGTTATATTTCAGTCATCCACCAGACGCTGTATATATTCGCCACGTATCTGATGCTGAAACAAAACCCAAGTGAATGTATATACACACCATAAATAATAACCAAAACCATGACCATCTAGCAGTCAGTAGACACCTGGGTAATACAGTCAAGATCAACTATTATACCACGAATGTCATTCAGAAGACCATGGCAATCAGAAGACCATCATTTCAACTGCTTACACCTTCATAATTATTTTAATTGTACAACAGAGTACTGTAAAATATTAAGTTGATGCTTTTTTATTGTTTGTTTTTGGCCTAAAAACTGTACATGTATGTTTTAGAAAAATGCTTATGATTGGGATTCCTCTGGTATCTGATTACTATTTTTCCAATCTCGTTCCCAGGGCTTCTCTGCTTGCTTTTTTCAAATGGAAATAGGACCTGGGAACTAGGTTGCTATTTTCCAAATCATCTGATGGCAAAGGAATCCCAAAATACAAACTTAAATAATTAAGTATTTCCAAGGGAAAAAATGTTACAATAACGTTGGTCTACCTCGTGATATCCCATGAACTTGTATGGATTTTGCAAGGAACGACAAAACTACAATGTAATTTTTTTTACTTGTGCAAACTATGTATTTCAGTTGTAAATGCATATACTTTTTGATATTGAAAGAATAGCTATTTGTACCAATTTAGACTCTGAGTATATTAAATGTTCATCCACTATAAGCAGATACAGTATATTATTATATGTAGTTTGTTTCCTTAATCCACATAACAACTTACTGTCTTTTTATCATAAGTAGCAGCATGCTATAGTTCAAATGTTTATTTGTTCAAATCTCCATAACAATGTCTTTGGCAAACTTCATATTATTATAATATGCCAGAAAGGCAAGTCTCACAACAGTCACTTCAATCACTGTGTAATGGATGCAGGTAGCCTGGTTTTCCTCAGGCTCTCCATGTGTTTTACCCTTTCCCATAATTCAGGTGTAAGTGACCCACAACCATAACTCAATGCCATTAGTCTTGCCACCAGCAAGTGCATATGAAAGTCATCCGCTGTCATACTTGATGGGTTTGCTTGTCTTGCCTGTACAAAGTCATCTTGTAAAGTCTTCTGCATGTCTTCAGTTACAGAGTAAGCACAACAACSCACCAAACCCAGATATAATCGAAACTTTTCTAGAATATCAGGTGATAAACCACTTACTACTGCACTTGACACTGAAGAAGAACCTTGAAGCTTTACTTGACAATCACAAGGTAGCATGGACTTCCCTTCTGACAGGACCAACACTTGAATGTTGGCCAGGAAATCTGTTTTGTAAAATTTAAAGTCATACTCTAGTTTCTGCCAGGTGATGACGTTGCCTAAAGCTGTGACATTCTGGACACCAGCAGGGTTGAGCTTACCAGACTCCATTGCCGTTTCATCCAGGATCAATTGAGTGCCGTCAGAGAGTTGTAGAACACCAGCAGTCAGCCTGTTTGCTGTGTAATCTTTTTTGGGGATGAAAGTCAAGCTGTTCAAGTTGTCTAAGCTCATTGGAAGATAGACACATTTTGGTAGGCAGGCTTTTAAGGCTTCAGCAACATGTTTGACCAGTTGACTTTGCGTCTCTGATGGACAACCACATAAATTAAGTGCAAACTTTCCAACTGCCATCATTCCACATCTGGTATAAACTGAAGACACAAGATGCAAGAGTAGATACTCTGCAGCTAAGTCATCACCCAAGAGCACACTCTTCAGAACTGCAACTATATCATCTCTTGTTTTGACAACTTCAGCAAGCATTGATCCTGCTTTCTTTTCATCGATATGTAAAGGAATACAAGGGTTTGAATGCTTTAGATGCTGAAAGAGAACACAGTGGATTCTTGGGACAAGGGAAGTTGGTGGATAGTGAGCAGCTTGTTCTTCTTCGGTCATGAAATTATCTGCACTGAGAACCATTGCATCGGAGTCTTCCTCATTCTTATCTGGGAATGACGCAAAGTTTGGTTGAATGGACACAACTCCAATGATCTCAACCATGTCATTCAGCTTGAGGTCTTCATAACTATCGTAAATGTGCACAATGCAGGGAGAACCTTGTTCTTCTGGGAGTGGAAGATTGAGAGATGCCATTTGAGATGAGCTGCTTGGTTTTTCTGTKGTTTGATCATTCTCCTTTGGTCTTTTGAAGTTGCCATTGATTGCTTCCACTCCTTCCATGATTACTGGTTCTTTGTCTGGCACAACAATATAGAAGATAAGATAATTATACTTTCAATAATGAGTTACAGTAATTAATATGATTGATGATTTTACAGCTTGAAATCAATTTTTTATAATAATTTTTAGCAATTCAACCAAGCTATCCTTTGTTTTCACTAWACGTCACAGCGGCCATCTTGGAGGAACTTCAACAAAAGATTTCTCATTAGTGTCTATTGTTCATTCCTCCAACATGGCTGCCAGTCTTTTATCTTYTGAATCTCATGGTAATGGTTGAAAACGATCAATACCTCCCCCCTCCCCAAATCTGGATTCTCACCTGTGATTGTATGATGTCACAGGGGTCAGGGGGTGATCAAAACATGTGTACGTATTAAATAATATTGATATTTTAATCAATTTGTAACTTTTGGTCACTAAAATACCTTCATGAGCTGATTCGGTGTCCATGTCATCATCGTCAAGAGATCTCTTGTTTGATGTTGCGCAACCACTGCCATGTTGAATACGAGCGGATTTCACTGAAAAACTCTGTTTAGCCCACTCAGTCTCGCCAGGAATTGGTACACAGTAGAAAGTTTGCTTCTCATTAGTGACATTGCAAGTCGCTTCGTAGTTCACTTCGTAGCCAAGAGGACAGTCGGCCATGTCTCGATATACGCCCGATTTCATCGCCTTTTTTCCGTCCGACTTAGAGACAACTTCGTATTTAGAGAGGTAGTAATCCGGGCCAAACATATCCTGGACCATGCATCTAAATTTGACCAAACTGTTGGGTCTTAGTTTGTCAACTGAGACGTCGTTCAGCGAAGGTATGCGATGGCCGGCCTCATGCACTCGCTCGCTGAAAAATTCTCTGATTTTGTCRCTTTTGGTGGCTTCGCTTTCATTGCAAATCCCATCGATGACGTTCAGTGGATGACTGACCCAATCTTCAATACAAGGCATCGTTTAAAATAGTTGGTTTTCTTAAAAAACCTTTTAAATCGCGTGTTAAAATTGTACGAAAACTTTCTGTATTCGTTTACCATGTGAGATAATTTGGCGGGAAATTTAGAAAGACGTCTGAACATGCGCAAAATGTAATTCAGCTGGACAAATAGATTGCATGCTCATCTTTTGGCTTCAAAGCGTTGTTTGTTTTTAGTCTGAATTTCCTGAGTTTCTTTATTCTTTTTTACAACAAATATGATTGCTGACACGATTCTTATTCTTATAATATCTTTAGTAACTGCTTGTCTTTCAGAAGGTGAGTTTTCTGGTATTTTGCCAGCATGATTTCCTCATATATTGTAAAAATTCGATTGAGGCTTCATTCAAAGTGTAAAGTCTTTAAGSTTATGTAGAGAAATGTTTGTAGTTATAACAGACTAATGACTATTTATTTTCCGTAGGAATTACTTATCTACTTGTGTACAGAACAGAAAAGTATAAAAAGCTTAAAGCAGAAGTTGAAAAAGACAGTAAAAAATGTAAGGTCCAGAATTCATCTTTAAGTACTGTATATGCTTCGTTTTGGATACTTGCAGCTGGCTAGAATAATTATTACTCTTCAATAACCATAACTTGTTATCCTTGTTGTTATTAAAGAGTAAAAAATGGTTGCTTGAATGCTATCCATGAGACTGCTGTATTTCTAGATAAAATAATTATTATACTCTGTTAACATTGGGCTGTTTTCTTTGTTAAAAAATCAAGGGTGTTATAGTTGGTGCTGAGTAAGCAAACTTTAAAGTTGTTATTTTTGTTTTTTATTCTTGTATTTGATCTACAACCCTCCAAGGCATATCATCTTGAAAGGAAATAAAAAAGCATTTATTAATACCGTATAAACAGATCCTCAAGATTTTTGCTGATATGATGCTGTAACTATCTGAGATGGTCTTCAAAAATATTGTGTCAGATAATGCTGAGCTTTTGTTTACCTTGTAGTAGAAAGACGTAAAGAAAATATGACAGATGCACCTCGGCAAGGTGGACAGAAAAAGAAACTTGGTAAATATTATAAAAATTGCTTTCAAACAATATTGCAGGTTTTTTATCAAAATGTTAAATAGGACTTCACTCAATTCTTCTTTTTCCATTGTTTTACAGAGAGAGTTGAAGAAAAGCTCAAGAACCAYAGCAGAGATTTGTCTATGGTAACAATTCCTGCTTGTAATGTAGAAGGGAARAGGGRGGCAGCTTTAAYGCATTGGGAGGATCTRGTTTTGTTTTGTCTCAACAGAAGTTTGAATGCTACCGTCTTGTCATCCAAACCCCAGTGTCAATATAAACCATTTTTAACAACAAAACTTACATTTAAGATAATCATTATTATTATTTGCAGGTAAAGATGAAGTCTATCTTTGCTATAGGATTCACTTTTACTGCCCTTATTGGCATGTTTAATTCAATGTAAGTCAAGTATATGTGCCAAAGGATTCAAGTAACTTCTACATGTACCCAGGCTGCTAAATAGACTCCTTTACAACTGATATTAGAATCCTGGAACCAAACTGAAATGGGTCATAAGAGATCCTCTGACTGATACCAAAGACATTCCTTGGAAATCTCTGACACTATTAGCAACACTGGGAGGTCCTTGGAATTACTATAATARATTTTGTGAAAGAGACCTCGTTTTACCCTCCTCTGCAGACATCTCTTCCTTTACTCTGTATATATAGAGAATGCAAGCAGAGGATGTTAACTTATGTTAATATATTTACAGACATGTATATTGGGAATCTCTTTTAAAAACAGCTTTTATGTTTAAAATCCTYCTGWATTTATGTTTTGTAGCTTTGATGGCAGGGTCGTTGCAAAGCTTCCCTTTGAACCACATTCATGGATCCAAAGCCTGTCTCATCGTAATTTGATGGGAGATGACTTCACTGATTGTTCATTTATTTTTCTGTACATTCTGTGCACAATGTCTGTCAGACAGGTAAGCAGTCGCTGGTCAACAGCATTACCCTTCATATAAGCCTGCTATCTTGGGCATAAATAAGAGACTCTTGCTCTCAAAATAATAATAATGATATCAAAAATGATGTCATTTTCTTAATAATCTCATATTTAACTTGATCTCTATATTTCAGAATGTTCAGAAAATGTTAGGATTTGCACCATCGCGTGCAGCCAGCAAGGTTGGAGGACTCCTCACCCCACCACAGACAACCAAATAAAACTTGTGAATGTTTCAAGTSAAATTCAATAAAACAGTTGATAGATAAAATGCTTGTTTTTGTGTTTTTTTTTTCACTTAGTCTTGTTTATCAATTCTCTCAATGAGAGACTGGGACCTAATTAACTAGGAAGACTGGTACTCAAAAGGGCTCAAAGGGCTATTGTTTTCATAAACGATGAAAACGATTTTTTTTCTGAGACTGTCAGATTCATTAGGATGGTAATATGTTTTTACGTTTCCATCATGTGCTTCTCGAATGATGATTACCTTCTGAGATAGCAGTTTGCATTGCATTGTGGTCTAGATTCGGAACAACACTTTTGTTCATGCTKTTGTTTGTACTAAAGCTAGACCACAACGCACCATTTGAATTTCAAAAAAAGGTCAGCCTGCGTACATCCGGTTTATTCTCTAAAATGACGGTGTTTAAAGGGACATGGTCCACCAGCATCCCTTTCGAGCTTTTGCTCATGTTTGAAAATAAAAATACATCGTAATATAAGCAAAAACTTACTCTTTATTATCCTTTATACTATATGAATGGAAATRTTGCAAGATTCGGCCGTTTTCGTGGAGAGTTCAATTCCCTAGGGACAGAAAACAACTTTCTACATTCTAGCGCGCAATTTTTTCTCGCCCACCGTGTGTTTTCTTGGCGCTTTTATACTGTTTTTAATTCTCTTGTGGAGGTAGAGAATGAAGTTGTATTTGCATGCGCGCACGGAGAGCGCCCGCTTGGAATGTGTTAGGCGTTGTCTCTGACAGTATAAAAGCAACGACTCTTGCTCAATCAGTGTCTTAGCTTCAAACTGTATTTAGAATTGTGATTTTACGCTGAAACTAAAGATACTGACAAGATGCCTCGTGGAAAGAAAGCAGCAGAGAAAGAGAATGTTAAGCCAGTCGAAGAAACCGAACCTGAAAGCGGCTCTGAGAGTTTCAGCGCTGAAAAAGTCGCTTCTCCACCCGTTCGCGGCTCTAAAGGTTCCAAGATGCTTCCAACCGGCGGCAAGAAAAGCAACAAGAAGAAGAGAAGAAACGAGAGTTTTGGCAGCTATTTGTACAAAGTACTGAAGCAAGTTCACCCCGACATTGGTATCTCCAGTAAATCGATGACCATTATGAATTCTTTCGTCAACGACATCTTTGAGCGACTTGCTACAGAGTCTGCGAGACTTGCACAGTATAACCAAAAGTCCACCATCAGCTCGCGWGAAATTCAAACTGCTGTAAGATTGTTGCTGCCTGGGGAGTTGTCCAAACATGCTGTCAGCGAAGGAACGAAGGCGGTTGCCAAGTACACAAGTCAACAGTGAAAATGAACTCGACAATCCTACAAGAGACTTACGTATCGACAAACTAAACTAGCGACAACCAAGACAATTTCTCCGAAGGGAAAGTGGCGCGATGAGTGCACACTATAAATTCAACAAACAAGAACTGTATTATACTGGATGAGTTAGAAATGCATGTTCGAAATTTTGAAAATTTATTATGAATGCAGTTTTAGATAAGACTAAATTTTGTAAATAGTTATGTTTATATAATTGTAGCATACCGATATTAATTTTGTTTTTAATAAATTGTTTATTTTTATAGCTGGATTGTTTTATCAATTTGCGCAAACTATTCGTGTACTGCGCGCAAAAACAATTTTGTGCAAACCGTGAACAAAGAATACTGGATTGGCAAAAGTAATTATCACCTTCAAGTGCACGGAATTTGAAAACAACGATAAAGCATAAAGTTCTGGTCCAATGTAAAGCAGTAATTTTTATGAGAAAAAGCCGAATACGTCCCATTTCCCTTTCTTTATATCTGTATTTCTTTCTATTTCCAATTTTAGTTTACGGACGTAACTGTGTACAGCGGTTTTCACAAATAAAGATGGCGGCCTCCAGGTTGACTTCGCGGCGAAATGTTGGTGTGATTTTACAATCCAAACAGTTTAGAAAACTTCTTTTTGGAAAAGCAAGATTAGCATCGACGCATGAKAATCCGTTTGTAAGTATCAGTGCTCAAGAAATTGTTTTTATTGCATGCATTCTGTTGGTTTGTGTATGAAATATTTGGCGCCTTGTTGGAGAGAGTCTAGATATTTTTTTGGGACGAAATTCAGAGAAACCAAACGTCCACTGTGGATACATGTGGATGCTAGCACTATCCTAATATAGACACTTGCCCRTACAAAATCTGGATGCTTTGTAATCAATATTTTTCCAATTTCAGGGCATTCAAGGACAGAGTACACAGGCATCCCAACCCAGGAAGTCAAGAGGTCTTCCAAAGAAATGGCCAATAGGTGGTGTGAAGCATGTTGTACTGGTGGCATCAGGAAAAGGTGGTGTTGGCAAGTCTACTTGTGCTGGTAAACATAATGTGAAATAAATAAAGGGCCTTTTCATACGCCCTGCTATTGTTGTTCCAAAACAAATAGTCAAAAATGCAATTTTGCATCCACTATTATAATTGTCAAAAAGAATACTTATCT